CGGGGTGTGTAGCGTAACACTGAAGGTAGGTCGTTTTCATATATCATCGTGCAACTGCAGTCAGCGTTTTGTCCTGTTATTAGGTGAGCCTCTACATTCTTAGCTTTGGGGCAAAGGGTCCCTGCCGTGTGGTGGTACTCTACATAGTCGGGACGAGGTTGCATTTAGGATATGGCGTGGGGACTTAGTACATCTAGGAGGTCGTAAACGTATATACATAGTCTTGTAATATGTACTGTCTCCAAGTGAATCAGATCATCGTCTATATAACACCTATGACTGCATGAATGGATGCTTGAAGATCCCGAACGACTGCCGCTGCAGAGCACTTCGGTCAGTAACGCAAGTAATGGCTCTAAATTAGTAGGGGACTAAAATAATGGGACTAATGGACTAATAGCTCTTTTTAGCGCTAAATTAGCTCGCTTAGCTCGATTAGCTGAGGGGGTTTTTCCTGATGAAGAGCATATCCTATCATCTTTTTTCGCATAGATTAGCTGACGCTCCCTCATACAGTCCATCATCACAAATCCGTATCATGACCATGTTGGATAGTCATACTAGGTAGAGACTACAACGAGGTATGCAAACCTCTGGGATATCGGGCCCGATATCCCAGAGGTTTGTATGTCTCGTTGTAGGCTACTCGTACTAGAGAATATATTGCATGAGTAATGCCTGACGTGGTGTAACCAGACATGAAACAAAGGAAGTGTGCCTTCTAGACCACGCTCGTCGTCGATGTGGTGACTATCACCAAGTTCTAATAGTCACGGCCCCACCAAGAAGTTATCACGCTGCCCCTCTGACGGTCCTGCATGCCATTCAACCAACGTGCTCTCTAAGAAACCTCTCGGGAACTCACTCCAAACCTGATCAAGCAACAAATGATGAATCGCATACCTCACTCATCTGGGTGAAAGCGGGCTATCCTATCGCTCGGGAGTCTCTGACCATGAGGTACTACCAAGGTTCGAAGGCCCAGTTGGAGTCGTGGGAATGTTGTTTCCAGATCCGCGAGATCATGATGGCTACCATCGTGTGCGGCAAGTCGCTGCTTGCAACTCACTGAGGCTCGCCAGACCTGGTGGCTTCACTTATTGTGCCTACCATCCTCAGTTCTTCAGATCTGCATACCCAGTGCCAAGACACCTCGTGAAGCAGAAGGCAAGGCTCCTGCCACAGCAAGCGCCGGTGAGTATCCTTTTTCGACATAAGCCGTCCGAGTCTTCGAGCTGTCTGTCCGACTCGTATCAACCTTCAACACCCGCGAAGCCCGGGGTCACAATCTTTGAAGGGTTTGATATCGTCTCATTGAGGACATATGACTCCGGTGCATGCTGAGCTGCAATATAGGCACGCGTTTCTAGTGTCGGTGCGCGTGAAGCCCCCCCCCTTACCCCAATACGCGGAAATGAGATTCGCACATATACACTGACCGTGTTGTACACTCATTCTTCCTCGACTCTCTCACGCGGTGGACCGTAGGCCATCCCATATACCAGACGCAGACCGCGTGAGCTGCAAGAACGCGATGCACTCGAAAATTTAGCGTCTTCGCGAAGCAGATAGGAGCCCATGTGGACGCGAGAGTTCCTAACCGCGCCTCGCGGAGAGGATGTCGCGTCCACCCAGCCTCGCTTATACGTCCACCATCTGCATGACGTGGCAGCTTCCAGAGCGGCCTAGTTGCTACAGGCGAGACTGAGCTATACACATGGCTCATTATACACAGACTTCTACATTCCGCGCTGCTAGGGCTGTGTTTCAGTCTTACCGACCGTCAACTGGTCGAGGCAATGCGCGCTGTTCCAGAAAACGGTTCAGCTCGCACGTCCATAATCGCCCACCACCCCAGCGTTTCTGCGGCGGTAGCGTACGGCATTCAATTGTGGACGTACAGTGCACATGCCGGCATATTGCCGCACCACATGACGCATTTTCAGGGCCAATGCGGAACGGAGGCGTGTACTTCGTGCAGTAGGAGTTTGCCACTCGTCCCTGCCCGTCGACACTCACACCAACAAAAATGCTGGGTTACACCCCAGTGGTCCACTTCTGTAGGTCAAGGCATTCACTTATATCCTTTCATCGGCCGTGGAGTGTCCAAGACAAGCCAGGTATGGATCTGGCTTCTATGATTTCCCTATGATTGGAGGCTCACACTGCTCCGAGTTGTCTTCATGCGGTATGTAGGCACAGTGTTCGAGCGTTGGGCATCAGTACATTCCTGTGCTGAAAAGCGCGAGAACCGAAGGCGGATAAACTGTCTGATCATCTTTGACGCGCTGTTCACTGGTACCCCATTCTCCTACAGTGACAGTCTCCTCGCGCGTCGCGCGGGCTCACCCCGCATGGCCTCTGCGCCAGCCGGAGTGGAGCTCATGTGGTCGCGACATCTCTTCGCGATGTGTCGAAGGTGTCAGGTCTGCCATGTCCCACGCTTGGAAAGGACCTCTACAAGACCAGACTCAGTCCGGCAACTCCACTACGATCCTAGGATCGAAGTTGGACGATGTGGAATGCGAGGTTCACATCGCGGGCAGTATATTTCTCCAAGGGGCGTGGGTTTTCAATATCTCCTTCGACCATCTCGTACCAGTCATGGCATTTTGGCTTTTCGCAGGTCTCGCATTTCGTGACGCTATCAATTGTGCCCCCCAAAATATCCGTATCATGTGTTGTCAAACTGGCGGACCACATCGATTGGGATGACTTCTGCTCGCGGGCGCGATCCACAAAGCCACCTTCCCACCCTAGAGGACCGGCCCCAGGACCACAAGTTGACTCAGAAGGATGTCGTCACGATTTGATGAGCAACGCACACCGGTCCTGAACCAGTTGTGGGATTGTACCTCGTCTTCTAACGCAGCAGATGCTCGATCCCACCAGTCTGATCGTGACGTCTTCCTCTCCGATTTGTATGCAGGCAACACTGGCAGATCGCAAATCCGATTTCAAAACAATCTCCCACGCCGATTGCGTGGTTTCCCTGCACATCCTACGCAGGCCACTGCTTTGGCTGCCCTACTTCCTATGATCTTGGTGTAGTGCTCATTTGCGATGCTGCCTGGCAAGAATGGTTTCAGTCTGTCGTCTGTCGAGTGAGTCTTCAATCTGAGGGCGCAACTTGCCCCACTTATATGTTTGAGCTAGATATTCTCATCCCGGCCGGCGTCGGAGCTTCTCGTAATTATACCATAGCTCTAGCGGACTCCCGAGCGAAGGTGCAGGAGGGCCTAGACTTCTCCCCCAATGGGTACACGATTACGAAGGTGGACAGCTTGCGAAATAGCTGTCCCGATCATACTTGAAGCGCTTAGCAGATCCACCACGCGAAGACCGCTGCAGTGGATCCTTCGAATTCAGCGCCTCCAGGTTCATCGGCGAGAGGAGTGGACGATGGCACTGATGTTCTGTCGCTTCTGAGGAACAGCTGCTTCCGTGAGCGTCACCATCCTACGGAGCATGGCTTGAGCTGATTCACACGTTTCCCAGTTTCCTTTTCTTGTTGCACTCAGAGTGCTCCGTGTGTTCTTGTAGGCAATGCAGTACGCTCATCCTGACGCGCATGTACAAAGGCGGAGCAGCGACCATCTGTCCGTCCCTGTCAAAACGTGACCACATCGTGTAGGCCTCGCGATTTGGGATATCGGAATAGAACTCTGGGCTGATTCAACGACGCTGCATGAGGGCACCGTAATGCCAGAAGGAGGAATAGTCCAGCGCCCGCATCCACCATCTGTAGGCCGGCATGTGGGCTGCAGTGCCACGCTAGTCTTCGTAAATCCACTCCGGTCAGAACGAACGCGTCCTGACGTCGGTACTATATAAGATATTGAACGAGTAGGGGAGAACGGTAGGCCTGAACACCCCATTCTCTGCGTCATTGCACCAACGCTGTCTGCTCTAATCAACTTCCGCACTTCCAGTCTCCCTTCTCAACGTTCACCAGTCCTCCACCATGCCGATCGCAACCAATCAGGAGCCTGAGGGTGACAAGAAGGCGCTCCTAGTGGGCATAAGATACGAAACAAACAGGAATTTGGCGGAGAATGGATTCAAATTGCAAGACAATACGCGTAAAGACGTGGAGAACTTGAAGGAGCTTCTCATGAGTACGTCCTGTTTCTAGCATTGTTACGATGGCGCTGACCGACGTCGCAGGCACATATCATTATACGGAGAAAGACATCGTGATCATGACCGACTCCGATACGGTGTCGCATGAATCGAAGTACTGGCCCACCAGGGCCAACATCGTAAGCATCTTCTTTAATCGATAAAATATCTCATCTTGATGATGGGCAAGATCAAGGCCATGAACACTTTGGTCGAAGGCAGGCGTCCGAATGACCAAATCGTCTTCGCTTGTAAGTTCGGACAATCCCATCTGACGCTTGGCATTGATCCATCTATTCTACCTCCGAAGTCTCGGGTCATGGCGGTCAGGTGGACGTTGGTGTCGATAAGCGTGAAGATGATGGGAAGGACGAAAGTATGTGGTAGTTGACTTCTATATGTGGGTCCTAACCTGAATGCCCTCCTTCAGTATTGATACCAATTGACTGCGAAGTCATACGATTTGATCAGGACGAAGCTCCTGTGTACTCGAACTTCATTCGAGACGATGTATGTAGATGACTATGTCTCATTGAGCAGCACTGAAGTACGTCGGTCATAGGAAATCCGACAGATACTTGTTGATAAACTCCCGCAAGGTGTTCACTGCACTGTATGTCCTTTCACTGACCTTTCTTCATCCGAGTTTCCTCCTGAACATCGTCTCGCGTAGATGATCTTCGACTGCTGTCATTCGGGGACGGCGTCCGGTACGCTTCTTCACGGTACGCATAGACCTCACAGTAGTTGTTAAATCCCACTGGCAGATCTAGACAATGTCGAAGTGCTGTCTCCCATCTCCCCGTAAGCTTTCCTTCCCTCGCCATATCTCATCGAGAGATCAATAGGCTGATCTCCGCATTGCTAGGCCCGGGAGTCAGACAACGGGTGGTTTCGGTAAGCTTGACTTTGACACATCGCTTTCACATCGCACACTGTCTCATATTGTCATAGTCAAGATGAACACGATACACGACGGGCATGCCGAAGATGTCGACTCACTCCCGAAGTCTAACGATTTAGGCGACGATTTGCCGTGGGCCCGCGTGATGCGCAGTTTCTCGATTTGCGTCGCACCAACAACGCTTATGTAGCGGCTTGTTAGACATCATGGTCGGCTTGTTTAGATAAGCAGCAAACTTTTGGGAGAAAGACAGGGGGTATCTTCATGGAGGTAAGTCTTGCAAACATCATCTCGCACTGCATCATACGATTAATCGGAGGTTCTCAGGCGTTTACAAGTCTTCTCCGTATGCTTGCATTACTACGTGATAGATCACATGGGGTGTGCCTGACATGTGTTAACTTCGCATAGGTTCGAGACACCACTACAACAATAAGGATTTGATGCGAGAGATCAGGTATGCCTCCAGTAACGTCTCCATTATATGCTCTACTTAAGGAACCAAATCAAAGCTGTGACGTCGAAGGCTAACGAGAGACTCAAAAAGAAGCATGAAGGACAGGTAGACTTCACGGACTACTTCGTTACTCCACGACCGCAGGTATGTTGCGCACGTCTTACACTTGAAATTCGGGAGGCGCACATACTGAAAGCATTTGGAAGCTTGGGAGTCTCACGAAGCCTGAGGATATCCTCCACGACCGGTTCATGCTATAGACATGAGGTCCACATCCCGTCCTTCGCATAGAATAGCCGGCGCTCCCTCATGCTATCGGACTCATCATCGCAAATCTGTATCGACGTTTTCATACAAAGATCTGTCGCAATGAAATACTGGAGAGCATTTGGCATGGATCTTGGGCTCAATTCTAGTGTGCTAGCAACAAACGTGAGCCAAGCATGGGCGTTTCCTTGATCGCGGCCATCGTCAACCTGACCAGCGGTCTATCGCGCTTACACGGGTTGAGCACCCGGTCTTGGCATTGAGTCACATTTGTGGGCCGAGTCAAGCTGCCGGCTACAGCGTCACATTTAGCTACTGAGGGAGTGGATGTGTGTCTCACTACCTGCAGGCGGTTCGTTGGTAGTAAGGTACAGTAAGCTCTTGGACCGTTGGACCCCCGACTATCACTTCCGTTGAGGGATCGACCTCTTTCCTTCGGTACTGATGACCTTCTCGCGACATCTTCATTCGCCGCTCCCGTCTCCTTCGATACAACATCCGCTCCCACAGCTGTCTGGAATATCGCACAGTCGCCAAGACGCCAAAGAGGAATGCGACTCTCAGTCAGAGTCGAACTCACACGTCCATACGGCGGAGCCTGGGGCTTTGAAGATCGACGTTCTATGTGAGGAGCCGGGGCATCCAAAGAAGGCTAGAAACAGGTCAGCATGCTGGAGGGCACGCGGAACTTGAAGTCGGCTACACCTCGGTCGATTTATAGTAGAAAGTCCTCTGTGACTGTCAGCAACACAGTCGACGTCCTAGGGTGTAATTAGCAATGACCAACAAGAATAGGGAGCTTGTGCGCGTACAATAGAGGACGAGCTCCTGCAGCTCGTTCTGCAGCCTATTCATGAACCCACAGCAAGGGATCAGAGAAGTTGCCGTATGTCAAGATCTGCTCGAGGCCGTGCAAGTGCGTCTCGCATGAGAATCCGGATGAGCAATGTGCGGCGAGTCTCCGAGATACCGTACACGCTCCGGTAGAGACCCACTGGAGTTGGCGTTTGGCGGTGAAAGTTGCAGAGCCGGCTATGTACTAAGTGAGGCACTGTTAGCGAATCTTACTGCGTAGGCAGGGGCGGAGGGGCTTATTCCAGATGTCCATCAGCCGTCCGACAAGAACCTAGCGTAAGCAACTTGAATGACTCGGTCTATGGCGCAGATGGCGAGATGAGGGCATAGTCCGTCTTCTCGACTGCCGCCAGATATTGTCGTTATACATACATACAGGTGCCCACCTTGATCAAGGCGAGCATACGATGGACCGCATCTGCACGACATGTAATGATGCTCGTCTAAGAGACATTGCAATCTGATCGAATGTTTGAGACGGACCTGTCATACCCAAGCAACCGACGCCCACCGACGCTGGCGAAGAGTAAGGGCCCGATCTGCAGCGATATCTCGCATCAATCCCACATTCTACAGTGAACAAGCTCAATTCAACTCAATACCCATCAGCTGGACGACGAACTAAAAGTGCTCACTTATATCACACGGCGCCTTTACAGCTGTTTTCAAAACGATAGGCCCCTGCACGACCTTTTACACACACAGCTGGAACTCATGATGGGCGGCCCGAACCAGGGTGTAGCGGGACATCCGAGCTCCGAACCCAGGCTGAGCTCGGCGTGGCGTCTGCAGGGGCCTATCGTTCTGCAAACAGCTGTAACAGAAAGCTCTCCGGACTCGGCTCGGCGATGTCCCGTGCGAGATGACAATATCTGACTGCCGGCGGCCCGTAGTTTACTGTGGAGGGCAATATGACGCAAGAGAACGAAGTCCAGGGATATGTGGTGTTGTGAAGGATGGTGCAGGAAAGCGAGGTCGGAAGCGTCATCCATAGGAGGTGCAGGGTTGTCGATAGCACTCTAGAGAAGTCGGCGGCCCCTCGAGACGAGGATGCGCGACGCCGGCGTCCATCTCGCAAAGATGTCCAGATTCCCTAGTCGTTGGACGTTAACTGAGGCATGCGACACTGTCGACCGGGCGTAATGGGGGTAGGAGTATGGGCAACACGTCTTCACTACTGTCGACGGAACACTGACCGGATGCTGGTGTTGGAACGTCTCCCGGTTGCAAGAGTCGAACATGAAAGTATCCAGGTACGAGTCCAACGTCGGAAGAGTACGTCTACTCTCGCAAATATTCTCAACCTCTGTTGGACGCCTTGGGGCATCGACTGCTTCGTCTTGCATCGTCCTGGCCTCCCCGTACAGAGCTGCCATAAGTGTAAGTTTAACCGGCTACCTGCTCACGGCGTGCCTCGTTCACGGAGTCAACTATCCTCTAGTCATTGGGTTTCTGGAATCATTCAAGTTGAGAAGTCATGGGATAGACGACGCCTAAGGTGCTGCCGCTACTTAAGAACCAGCATAGCTTCAAGTTGCGTCCCAACTTCGACGGAAGCGTTCGCGATGTCGGCAATTAGGACAAATGGGTCTTGAGAAGAGAAGTATAGAACATTGGTGAGAAAGTCAAGCGTCGTCCTGAGGAGGCAGTGTGGTCATCTCTGCACTGCTCTGCACGTCTCGGAAGCGCACAAGACCACATGGGCACTTATGATAGCCTCGGTACCGGTGCTCGATATCATGGTGACCTTCCTCATGCCTACTCCCATAGACCAAAAGCCTCCAAATGCTAACATCCGAGTTGTACACGGTTTTCGCGGTGGACTCACAGCGCACAGCAAGTCGAGTCTTGTCAAGGGTTAGGAACGCGAGCCCAGGGATCCATACGGTAGGTCGCTTCTCATTCTCAGGCAGTGGAGTTACGGCTACTGACGGCAGACACATTACAACTCTCTAAGACCGTTCGACAGGATGCATGCACGACAGAGAGCATTCGGGAAAAAAAAGGAGAATCGCAGTCCATCATGCTTGTCATCATGTGCCGGAACTCATCCACCACGCCTTATAGAAGCCTGCGGCTGCCAACTGTGCGGCTCATCCGGCGGAGGAGGCTTCCAGGGCGAATGGGTCTCGGCGAGTCTGGAGTCCGCTTGAGCCTGTGGTAGGGCCTTATCAGCGAGGATGTCTTGTGAGACTTGCGGCACAGGGTTTGTCGGCTCTTTCGGCCCCGTCGTACTCGGCTCTGGCGATCTCTGCGTTGGCACCTGTAGGTGAGCGGTAGGAGCTTGCTCAGCAGCGATCTGCGCTGCCTCAGCTCTGTCGCGTGCCTCAATCCGAGCGACATTCTGGAGGATGCGACGTTGACGTTCGAAATCTGCTTGCAGTTCCTGAGCAGCGTGATCAGAGACGAGTCTCCGAGGTTCGACAAATGGACGAGCGACGATGCACCTCTAAGGTGGGAGGATTCGGCCGGGTGTGAGTCAACCAAGACGTCCACTGCACTGCAACACAACAACAGAAGTCAAAGAGGTCAAAGCAATGAGGGATTCCGCCAGAACGCACCCGCGAGTCTTCGATGCCCGGAAACATAATCCAGCATATGGGTGCCTTTCGCATACTTCACCACACGTTTGGTACGCCGCGGATCTGCCCACGCAGTTCAGCGGGAGTAGTACGCCAAGGCAGGCTAGTCTCACCATCAGATGTGCTGGGGTATTCAAAGAATCGGTTGCCTTCGTGGAGCGAGCGACCGAGGAAGGTGTGAGTGGACCCTTTGCAACATGAACTGTAATGGACGATACCTTCCAGATCCCTGCCCACCAAAGCGGTCTATCCGCTCATGCCCAGTGAGTTTCCCAACGCGCTTCTCCAAACGCTCGACATACTGGATTCCTTATCCTGCGGAAGAGTCGAGCCAGGAATGACATAGTAGAAGCCACAAGAGAAAGGTGAAGGCGACAGAGACGGCGAGTCCAGACACGCGAGTTAGGATTACAACGACAGCATTCGAGATAGATTTGCTTCTAGACTAGAGTCGTTAAATATGGCATAGTAGCTAATATAAAGTAACACGTCTCATTTGTGAGGTGGGGCTACATTAGGTAAGTAGGTACCCACTTATCTGATAAACAACATGACGCGTCGATCTGGGAGAGCGCGTGCGACGCGTCACCCTCGTACATCTTGTCCCTCACGCCGAACTCCGCCCTCACCCGCATCTCTCCACCATGGCCGACGTCGAGATGAAGCCCGTTGACGAGAAGAAGGAGGAGAAAAAGGAGGAGAAGCCTGCTGAGGAGAAGAAATCGGCGCCGCTCACCCCAGTGGCCGAAATCAAGGGAAACGTCGCACTCATAGAGCGGGCTGTTTCTACCCTCGAACCTCGCTTCACGCATCGCGTCTTGCGGTCGTTGACGCACTTAAGGAAGAAACTCAACGACAAGGTGCTTCAGGATGCTGTCCATGAGGTCTACAGAATCGGTGCGTACGGCTTGTTTTTCTGCCATACACCCCTCGCTCTTCGTACAGATATGTATCCGTCACCACGTCGTGCCACACGTCGCACTTGCGACGCAATGCGCTACATGGCCTGTAACTATTGTCTCGCCGAATGCTACGAAATGTCAGCATCGGCACGCTTTGTACAATCGCGGCCCACCCGAGACTCCGTCGGTCGACGCCCGGGGACATCATTCCATCATACATGGGTTACATCGCATGACGTAGGCATTTACTGACCCTTTCTATCTAAACCTTAAGATTCTCCCTCGAAGAAGGCGCTCCTTGTATGGCTGCCCGACACATCTGCAGACCACTCCATGGACATCGACCCCGCGACGGCACCCTCCAAGCAAACTCCAAGTGAACCCCTGCCCGAAGTCGAAATCTACTTCCGTCTCCTCATACTCCACCACCTTCTCACTTCCCCAGCCAACTACCCCAAGGCCACCAGGCTGGCTCACGAGACCGTGGAGAAGATTCAAGCGCTTAACCGTCGGAGCATGGATCCGATTGCAGCTAAGGTTTGGTACGCAGTTGAGCGAGCGTACGAGCTCGGGGGCGAATTGGCCGACGCACGACCGTGAGTTCCAGTTCTTTCTGTTCCGCGCCGTCTCTCAAGCCGAGCATGAACGGAGAGTTGACGCAACCGTGTCGGCAGATTGTTCCTGGCCGCTCAGCGAACCGCCGCGCTCCGCCACGACGATGAGACCGAGGCGTCGCTCATTAATCGTATACTGCGGAGTTACCTTCAGTACAGCTTGTACGATCAAGCGGACAAGCTCGTTTCCAAGACCTCGTTTCCCGCTGCGGCGGGTAATCCCCAGCATGCGCGGTATCACTACTATCTTGGGCGCATCAAGGCCGTACAGCTCAACTACACAGCGGCGCACACAAACCTTCAGCAGGCTATTCGTCGTGCTCCCCCGGCGAAGACAGCCCCCGGCTTTTACCAGGCTGTGCACAAGCTATCCATCGTGGTCGAGCTCCTTATGGGCGACATCCCCGAACGCAGTCTCTTCCGGCATCCGGTCCTTGAAGAGGCCCTGGCCGGGTACTTCGAGATCGTGAAGGGTAAAGCAACACCCTCACCATTTTGCGGATCTTACTGACGTTACTCTATTACACCAGCGGTCCGGAACGGATCTTTGTCCCAGTTTCAGAGTACGCTCTCGCGCTACGCCGCGCAGTTCGAAACAGACAAGACGTATACCCTCATCGTTCGTCTGCGGCAAAACGTGATCAAGACTGGTATCAGGCGTCTTTCGCTGTCCTATTCGCGCATCTCGCTTCGGGACATCTGCGTGAAGCTGCACCTGGACTCAGAGGAGGACGCAGAGTACATCGTCGGCAAGGCGATACGCGACGGGGTCATTGAGGGCCGGATCGTCCACGAGAAGGGCTGGATGGAGTGTGGCGGGCAGAAGAGCGGCTACGGCCCCGAGGTTAGCGACGTGTTCTCGCGCCGCATCGCCTACTGCCTCGAGCTACACAATCAGAGCGTGAAGGTACGTGAATTGTTGCCGTGGTTTCCTGGTTGTGTTTTGTTGCCTTGTACTCCTGGGCGGTATTGTTTGTTGCTGGGGCGTCTTATTCTCTTGGCATCCTGGCGTGTGGTGGGCACAATCCTCAAGGTGGATGGGCCATCGAATCGTGGGGCATTCTTGCTAGTGATCAGCGAAGGGCAGGTCACCAGCAACTGTGCTTTACGCGCTTACAGCACAGGCATGCAGTCTTCATATGGGCGTTGTATGCAGTTCAGCTTCTATCGAGAGAGCTTCCAGCCGGTCCTCAAAGTCCCACATGGGGACCTACATTAATCTCCGACAGCCTTTGAGGAGTATTATGTACCGCTTTGTGCTTGGTTCAAGGGTTCTGGTGGCCGCCTGATGCCCCCAGTACCACTTCATTTGGTTACACGCAGGATAGTTCTGGCGCTGCAATGAGAGCCTGAGCTCCAATGGCGCTCAGTGTGACCTGCTATGGAAGTTCTTGGAAGCATTCTGCCAGCCAAGTCGATGGATGCCCGCCATGGACGCTGGCACAAGCGTGTTTCAGGCTCCCTTGAAAGTACATCCAGAATATTTGACAAGGAGGCTGCGCTACATCTTGGATGGAACTTTACCCTGATAATGGGACGGCACATCTTGAGGCCATTTTCATTGGGTGGCTCATCGTAAGGCCGCTTGTTTCAGACGGGGCTTCGATGTTCTTGAAGCACTTCACAAGAGCACAGAAGCTTTGCTGCGGTATTGGTAGACCTCTGCCGCCGCCTGCCGTTAGTCGTGTCGGCTTCTAGTATTCTCTACCTCGCATGTCTCGCTCCAGATAGCATACTGACGACCTCTGGCCCGCACAGGCTATGCGCTACCCACTGAATGCGCACCGCAAGGAACTTGCGGCTGCAGAAGGGGCTCGAGAACGTGAGAAGGAGCTCGCGAAGGAGATACAGGAAGGGGGAGATCTGGACGACGAGGGCCCTGACCTTGGCGAGGGTTTCTAGGCGTTATGTTATCGCCGTTGTATGTTGAACCCTGCTCGGCTGGCGTTATTGAAAGTGTACTGCTTTGGTGTCCAAAGGGTCTTTTTTCGTGGCGTTTGTGAGCCTTCTAGTACGAAGAGCTTCCCAATAGGGCGTCCTGAGAATGACAGGCCTTTATGTAGTGTGTAGAGTGGAGGGACGCCATAATCTCCGTCAGACTGTGGAGTGCTCAGAAGCTGTACTATCCACTTGCCTTCCCAGACGGCGCGAAAATGCACCCGCGACATGTGAAGTCAAGGATACTATCTCGTTGGGTGTACAACGGGTCACCATCACAGCCCTGTCTGAATAGTGCATACAGAAGATGGTGTGTCCTAAGGACCGATCGATCCCCTGAAAGACCTCCGTAGAATTCTAGTCACCGAAGCTTGCAATGCTAATGGCTATGATCCCACGATTTGTTCAAAAGATAGATCGAGAAATGACGATGTCCAACGTAACTCCACCCAATACAGGTGTATCGCCGCAGTGCCGCTATTGCGGCAACTTCACTAGAAGTCAAAAGTTTAGATTTTGGTTGGCTAAAATAGCACAGCGATGTGGCGAACATGCTCATTAAGGGTTCTACAGAAAGTCTACCAGTGATTGCAGGACGAACGTCAAAGGCAGATTGGAAATGGCGGTGTCTACATTCCCGCGAAGTGCAAGGACCAGATACTGGCACAATTTGATTCGCCTATCTGACACCGGTTCCTCGATTTAATTCCGTACAACAGCTTAGAGCCTCAAGGCCCGAGACCCGCCGCCGACGATGCCAAAACGTTATTGTGCGAGTGCCTTGTGTTCGTAACCGAGATCCAAATATTAGAGCGCCGATCACCACGCAACAGAAACTGAGATGGAAGCTGTAGCAGTGGCCAGACATATGTATCATCCGATGTGGCAGGCGACGGGAGCGGGGAGGCCCTCGATTTCAAACTGTTGGCGGGGCACAATATATTGTGGTCGTGGTTCAGGTCAAGCTAGGACATGGTCCCTGAAGGTCGATTCTCCTGATAGGATGGATGGCCCTTGCCCAAGACGGCATCGAGTCAGACTAGGTCCCACGAGACTTAGACATGCTGCTTTGCTTGAAATCTTCCTTCCAATGGACTGGACCATCGTGGAGAAAAGGAATTTTGATATGGACATCGATTCGCAGAGTGATAGTCACAAGTCCGGGTGGCACAACTGATCTCGATCGGATCCTGACTTGTCGATGACTCAGTTGACGATTACAGCCAGCCAGGGTCGAGCAGCGTCCCGCAGAAGTGCAGCAGACGCAGGGACCAGCAGATGTTGTGGGCATTCGAAGACCATGAGACCACAGAGTGTGACTGGCGTAGTAGGGTCTATGCGGCAAAGGGCGTTTGTGCAGGCGCTATGAGACTCCCCAATGTGGATGTTCGCCGCCTATTGTGATATACAGCCTCCAGAGTGGACTCAGCGAGGACGACCGCCTGTCTTGCCGCCGCCGACCGCAGTATGCGTTACTTTGCCGCGGCGAATGAAGTCGTCGTCATCGTCGCTAGTGAGGGTAGAGGGTCAGCGAAGTGCGTAGCCCCTAGCTACTCATATGGCATGAAGCAGAGGCGTGCTCGCTTCTCACCTTGTCGGAGATTCAGGCGTGGAGTCCGACCTGCGGAGACAATTCGAAACGTCAGTTGCCTCATTCCTTCTGTAGCGACACGTCGAGTTTGGTGTGAATACGGCCTCATGCTGCTGCCTCGATACACGATATTTTCGCGAAATGCGATGACGCATGTCGTGAGGAATGCAACATGCCTCGCGATCGGGGCTTAGTTGCCATACAATTCTCAGTATCAGGCGCGCTCCGATTGCCACAACAGACGCATGGTATCAAGTGGGTGTATCTGGTTCAACGCTCGATGGTCCTCTCAACAGGTTCAAAAACAACGCAATGTGGATGGGACAACAGCTTGTGGATTCACAGGTTACATGTAGACGGGACTTACTCTAGGGTTGACTTCGTTGAACCCGAGGATTGCGGAGCCGGCTTCACGTTTCTATCCGGAGCCGTATTGTCGTCTGTCCGGTCCCTTCCAGCGTCCCTGTACGGTGCATATCGCAAGTCAGTATATGTAGCAAGCAAGCCATCGTGATCTATATCTGACAGCTCATGTACGTAGCACGTACTGGAGGTCCGTCGGTGTAGCCTCTGTCTCGAGCTGTCGGGGCTCAGTATCGCCGGTGAGATTGTTGTCAGGCGTAGACATCGCTAGAGAGTGCTAGAAGTCGTATAACTAGGTATCCTCAAGAAGTTTATATAACGGTCAAGGCGACGCTAGATGGGCTCTAGATGAAGCGAGATGTCGGATATCCTGTGTCTGCAAAGGCGATTACCTACTATGTAGCGCGACAGGTGCAGCGCCGGATGTCCGGCGCAGCGCGGCGTCCAGACGCTGGTGACGCCCGTCAAAGAGGAGTGCGGCTGTGCCGGGCTTGCGCAGTGCAGAATCTGGAAAATGAGAATTGATCCTTTTGACGCTAATCGGGAACATTAGGTGAATGCGCTGATAATTGGAACCGCCTCGTTTTTGGTAATAGAATCTGCTCGCACCGCATCGCCGCCAGTTTGTTCCTTCCGTGTAACAGCATGTATAACTATAAAGGTAGTCTTGCAACACTTGTACAGGCACTCTACCCCACTCTCACTCCAGACTTACAGTTCCAAGCATGCAGCCACTCGAGAAAGCCACTGTGGATGATGAACTCGTAGATTCTGGCACGCCCAAGCTTGTACCCACTGTCCCTATGTCAACTCAGAGGTATAATGCGGCAGTCAAGTACGTCCATCTCCTAACCATCGTCGTCTTAAAACTGATGGTCACAGCAGGAGGGTCATTCCCGGGAACATGAGCATCCGTCCAGGCCTGTTTAGCTATGCGAAGGAGCTAGAGTGCGCACTCATTGTGATCAGTTGGCGGCGTAAACTGAGGGTCTCGTTCTATAAGGCCGCCGTATCTTCCCGAAGGTTGGGCCTCCTACATTCAGCCCGAGGGCCAGGTCTACTTCGCATATGAGTCACAGCCTCGTATGGTTACCGAAGCACGTATGCACTCGGAAACCGTCCGCGAGCAAGTCCTGCGTTTCGCCGTCATCATCTGCAAGACGCTGGAGTCGAAGGACATCACCTTGCCCGATTCTGCTGAGCTCTACCTCATGCCTTCGGAAGATGGCGATACATGCCGGTACTATTTCGTCGACCACGCATCGCACGCTTTGTTCTGGCTCGACGAGGTGGACATCTATCAGCTTGACTTGCCAGAAGTGATCTCCGAGTCCCATCTCGGTACGTACCATGTTAGATGCATCGAAGATCATGCGCTGATCATAAACATTAGGGATGGTGTTACAAGAGCAGTACTGGACTCATATCGAGCAGTTCCCTTCCCATCGCTTTGAAAGCCTCCATCTGGCCATCGACGAGCTGATCTCCATCTTCATCCACGGAGAAGGTGATCAATTGACATCCACTGGCTCGACGTTCGCGTACACAGCCAAGCAGTCAAAAAATTATCTTCGCATCTTGCAGAACGCTAAGGAGCATTTGCGCTACGCACCGTCCATATGCATCGTGGCGCGATTGTGGGGAGTCATCTGTAAGTTTGTACTGATCACCGCCACGCTCAACGTTCTGACAATTCTTCAGCTCGTGTTAGATGGCAGACCTTTTTTGCTCAGGAGCGTGCACGATTGGACCGCAACCAGCGCGTCTTGGATATCCCTGACTCAAACAGAGGTCGCTTGTTCGCGGTTGCGTCCCGGATGCTCTACAACATCCCAAACGCTCGTGCCATTGAGCTCGAGAAGCTCTATGTGGACAATCTGGTCTACATTCATACATGGACCGATTTCGTTCAGAAAAGCCAGAATGAATGGAAGGAGCACCTTCCCTGGGTACGTCCACACTCACGTACACCATGCGTTCCACACGTGCTCATGTGACACATCGCAATGCTATAGATATTCGGGGTTGCTATGTAAGTGGCCGGATAGTCGCCTCCATCCCGAAACATCACTCACGCTTGACCTCTCAGCATCAATCTGTTACTTCTCTTCGCTCCGGGTACCTCGGGCCTCCTGTCAGCTTTGTCACTTCTTTGCTGCGCAGTCGCGGCTGGTGCATCCCTCATGCTTCTTGCTCGTTTCGACGGGATCAACGTCCGAGACCCAGTCGACGCGGTACGCATTCTCCACTCTGCGCTCCGTTGAAGCGAGTTCCTAATCACTCGCTACATTAGCTGCCCTATCTCGACGCCGCAAAGGAGTCTGGGGGTTATGCGTCTACCGCGCTCGCGCTCTGTCTTCCCCGTGGTATGTTCTACCACGCTGTCGTCCTCGCGGCAGCCCAGGGACTCGTGTGGATTGAGAACGAGACGGACATCTACGTCCTTGGCGCTCTGGTCGGGTTCGTCGTCCTCGTCAGTCTTCCGTATGGAAAGTGGTACCACAGTGTGGTCGACCGGCTTCCGAAACTCAACTGCCTCCACCGGCGCCGTCCGATTGAAGATTTCGAAGCTGTCATCAGCAAAGTCTGACTGCCCGCATGGATGCTTTTTCAGCCGATGCCGCCGCCCAGTTCCGGCGACTCGGGATACCCAGCCTGTAGGACTAGGACATGTGTGTTTCGAATGCGTGTCTGTACTTACGACCTGTACGTTCTCACGAACAGTCACGGTGATGAGTACGCCAAGCTTGGGAATGATCAGAATAGGAAGCATATGCATAATCTCCGCCGCGCGTTGCGATGGCCGCTGCTGCGATACCCCGACATACCCCGGCCATGATACTATCCTCCTACCTAGAATACGAGCCCTCTTAGATTATACCCTGCACTTTCAGATAGATAGAGTATGTTACTCACCAAGAGAAAGTATTGGATGCGGTTACAAACTTCCCATCGGGCTAGACGGCCCGGGCGAGCAGGTCGCAAACTTGGATAACAGTGTCATACAAAATCAGAAATACATGAATGTGTATAATGCGTTCCTCGAGGGCGGTACCGTATCGAAATCCGGATGAGCCTACTGTCTCGTTGTGATCGACCACAAGGAAACAAGCTGTGCACCCGACGCAACCTTGATCATCATTGACTCGCACCCGGATATCCGGTTGAGAACCGGATATCCGATTCAGAACAAGAGCCTGAATCAGGAGAAGAAATGGCCGGAACCACCGCTAACGCACTTTCCAGAAAGTCAACTGACTGATTGACGACATCGAGATTACTGCCTACTGTTTGTTCGGATAGTCAGTCCACCCTGGGGGAAATACTCGCTCGCGAATTTGCTAGGTTGCTCATACGTTAGGACGCAGACCACACCCTGTGAACAGTCAACTATTAATCCACTGGACCTCATACCATGACACAAAGGTACGTTGACGTATTGGCTCGAGACACAGGTCGACGACTACGCCGCATGCAGTATGGCAAGGCACAGACAGATACCAAGACGTGACTATGCACTTCTATTCGTGTCGAACAGTTCTCACCGCCAGTAACCACGGAGCCTTGTAGTTCTGCAAATGACCCGGAGGCTGTTGTGGAGATGACAGCACTGATAGTCAGATAGGGAACCCGAGCTAGAAAAGGGCCCTGAGGTCTGAGCACGGAGCGCCCCACCTATACCTGTACTGCAAGGCGTAGCATGGTCTGACCGAGCTGAGAGATATTTCCGAATACCGCCCTCAACTCACCGTCATAGACGGCGCAGCAAGGTCTCGTAATCCCCCTTGCCTTGTTATTTGTCATTATTCTGGGACACGTATTATGTTGCTGTGAAGCAGCATCGATGCAAAGCGACGCGAAAACGTCCTCCTGCGTCGATTTGGCAGACGTCATGCAGAAGGCTACTCAGCTGCTGCGGTGCACACGCAGCATGACGTCTCTCGTCGGCATCATGGTTCCTAGATGACAAGGAAATTTCTAGGGCCATTACTAAAACCTGACGGCGGGGCCAAGTGGATCACCGATACCGGACCATTGTACTATGCTTTCGGCCGAAATGCTAGTCGAACTTGCCACGGACAGTTGAGGCGTGCCAAGGACTTCCTATGCTGGGATAACGTGTAGACGGATTACGTACGGAGATAAATACATAATGAGTCGCATCTAGAGTGACATACCTTCAGTCATACTGACTAAACCCGCAATCATGAGAGGCCTCGAGTTCAACTTCTGTGGCTTCCGATGCGCTAAAGAGGAGCTCCGATGTAAGTTAAGCGGGCATACGCATTGCCCACCGAACTCGAAGAGCGTAATTGGCCAGGGTCCTGAGAAAACCAGACTTCTGACCTTAAGACCACCTACATCGGGAATTAATCGATCACTTACAGATATAGCATCCAACATCACGCACGCGCGTCCTTGGAGAAGTGGTGTGGCCCTGATCAGGAGGCTACCACAAGGTTGACGCGGGATAACGGGGAACGACTTTAGTCTGTGAGACTACCTGGTTATGCCGAATGAGCTATGCGCTACAGACCACATGATAGTGCCAAGATCCGAGAGATTTCCGCTCTGTATGGCACGGCGAACGTCTGCAAATCAGCCGCCTGCGACGGCAGAGGCAAAGACTGCTTGCTATACTGCTGTGCCTGTCAGCCCTAACATTGCCGAGAGAGTTAACGGAATCCCACTTGGTACTATGACTCTCCGCCTTGAGACAGCGCACCTACATATTCGATAGAGAATCTCAATCGCATTGACTTCAGTGGGCCTGGTAGGAACATGGATATTTGAATCAGGAGGTTCGCTTCCGAGTCAAGTGCCCGGACTGTTTGCGTCGAGGCTGTGTTGCTCGGTGTTTGCCGTGCCGCAAACCCGAAGCCCGAGAACATTGGATATCGTGACTTTTCTCGTTGCACTCCGATACACGGCAAGAGAGACACAAGATCTGCTTGAAAAGACTATATTGAAAAAACTATCTAATAACACAGTTGACTGAGTTTCGGAGATCGGCGCATGGAGGGTTCCCATGCAGGCCCGGAAGCTAGATCCTCGGAAAGCTGCTAGTACTACGGTAGATGGCCGCGAAGTGGTGAAAGTCCTCCAGTCGTTAACTGTAGACAATACTTCATTAAATCGTCATAATTCAAGTGACGATGTAGATAGGGTCCATATATCAGTGTGAGGTGTATAGACGAGTAGCAATGATGAATTGATCACCTATGACTCGTGAACCAACCTGACCGGCGGACACGTGCTCGATGAACAGGACAATGCCGAATCCTCAGAACGCAGACGCGTTCCAATACTGGTCGCCATAATGCCTCAAGGAAAGGGCCAAGTCCGTTGTCTGCTGCTAGTAATAGTCGAACTTGTTCAGACGACTTAGGCCTCCCGAGCGGCCATTGGCATATGCCGCCCTTTCTGAGGATACATCCTCCAGCTGTTCACACCAAACTCGCAGTGAGACTTCGTAGCTTCATCTCTCATGTCGACGCCAACAGCTAGCAAGCTAGCTCATGGTTCAGTAGTGACGGGAATTCTGCCTCTCTTCCTATGTCCGCTCGTAAGATCCTGTCCTCATGGCTAATCTCAGCGCATCTCCGTGAATATTGAACGCGTCCATACCGCAGATTTTGTGTGCGAGCGATAGGACACTCGATACCAGCTCATGCTGGAGAGGAGGGAGGTCGCTGTCCCTTCGATGCATCCAGAACTCAGAACTCAACTCGTCCAGTGATCCCAGCTGAGAGAAATCGGGAGACAAAAACGAGCTCCGGTACACTCGCACACGCAGCATTCTCCGGAAGCATGCAGCAGAAGAATGAGACAACTGGGCGAGGCGCAGAATCCGATTGCTCACCGACAACACACCACCCTGAAACGTCCGACGGACGTCGGACATTGACGAATTTCCGACGGACGGTGTGACGAAACGTCTTCTCGATTAACCTACACATGCAACCAAGACTCAATGCAGGGAGACTCGCCCTCGACGGCCGAACGCCTCGGACCGCGGAATTGGGTCCGCCGCAGTGCACAAGCGTCGCAACGTGTACGCGGAAGATGGAGAAGAAGAAACTCGTGGCATTCTTCTATCTCATCTGCTCCTGATGAAAGACCCCTGTGCAGTGGCTAGAAGCCGCCTAGAAGGCGGTCGGATGGCGACTGATTTGTACGGGCAAGAGCCTATAATAGCAAGATCATATTAGCTGCCTGCAACCGCCAGATGTTCAGTACCGCAACGAGGACCAATACGGAAGAGGACTCGCCTCTTATAGATTTCATAACTACAAGCTGAGAGTCTTAGGCCGTTGGATCCCGCCGATTGAACCATATGGTTACGAGAGTAAAGACCGGCGTTCAAGCAGAACGCTAGAAGTAGGTAGTACGCGACAAAGTGGTCAAGTAACAGACTTCAAAATACGTTCGATCCACGGTCCAGCAAGTGGTGGCGGTGCGTGCGGATACATAGCCGATGCAGCACCTTCGACAGTTAATAGAATTGTACGCGGGATCAAGCTGGAACTTGAAATGGATCACATTGAACAGAGTTAGTCGAGTGCATCAGCTGTTATGAATGCAAGAGCAAGAAGGGGTAACTTGGCTGTGGGTGGTCAGTCACACATATCAGCTTGCGCGGCGCGATCGGGAAGCCCCAGGGGCAACAATTCAATCGCATGTACAACGTCCGTGTGTAGCTGAAGACGGGGACAAATGTCATTCGAGGTTGAGGTCGATAACGTCTTGTCCTTATTCTTGTAGTGGCTCAGCGTTGTCTTTGTGCCCGCTGAGGCAGACCAGGGGGCAAGAGACGAGAGGAGAGGGGAAGAGCGTGAGGAACGCGCTGAAAACTGTCCTGTACGAGATATGCGTCAGGAGAGGGAAAGGCCTTGGCAGACAGGTCGCTTGCATCCTGCGACGACGTAGTCTTTGGCAAGCATCTCGCAAAATGTGTAGCTGGGTGCAGCTTATTCCCATTGTGACATCGGAGATATGTGAAGGTGAGCGCGGCGCGGCCCAAGTAGGAGTGCACAGAGTGTGTCCAGAGGATAGCGGGGGAGGAGCGCTGTGGAATGAGGACGCGAGGCGCGAAGATCAACAATTTCTGGGACTTTTCGGATTGTCGACGACGGAGAGAATGTGATGTGCTATCACTATCATGGATTTCTCTCGACCATGTGGGCCTTTTGCAAACGGAGCGACTTGGAGATTAGGATGACGGAGAGCGGCGAGCATGCTCGAGATATTCGGTGAGACTCGGACGATCCTGAGGATGATGGTACCATCAGCAAATGTGCAAAACGCTCGGCCATGATTGCCTGGATTGGCCACGGCATCCACAATCGGCGCGAATTGTGCTCGAACAAAATCGGAGCCATTTGGGAGCGATTCGTCACAATCGATGGGATCGGTTGGGCCACATGCCCATATTTGGAATTCGGGCAATTGATGCTGAACCCGAGCGCGCCCTCGTCCTCCTCACCTTCCATTTCATCACAGGTCGTCTGGCAGACCAACGTGCATCCTTGATCTGTCCCCCGATGCTCTGACAAACTATGTCATTGAACATACTAGTATATGACGCAACACTGTCAGGCTAGTATATAAGGTGCCGCTGCCATTCCAATGTGTTGGAATGGCGCGATTGTAGCGCGATCCCGTCGCAAGCCTCGCGCGACACCGCGCGACTACGGAACACCATCGGGATTGATGCGCCCTGTGGCGCGGCCCATTTCCGGACCCTTACGATACGCTGATTAGATTAGTTCATTACCTTATTTAAAGCCTCGAACTTGCGCCCGCTCACCTCAGTCCCGCTTATCGCGTACTGAGGTGAGTATCCCACATTACTATACTTCCGCCGTGGACTCCGTTAATGATGTATCGTAGTATTCCTATAGGTACAGCATTATCAATATATTAGTCCCGCTTATCGCGTACTGAGTATTCCTATAGGTTATGAGCCCTGCCTTCTAGGCGGACTAATCCTCGGACAACGCTTACCTTACCC